AAGTAAAATTTGATGGGGTAAACACAGGAAAAAAAAAAATTCTCCGGGAGAATTTTTTTTGTTAAAAAAAAATTAAAATAAAAATCTCAGCACTCATTTAGAGTTCGGGATCTTGTGAAAGAAAGCTTTAAAAGGAGCAAACCTGATTTGCTGTGGCTGTTGCGGCGAAGGGAACACTTGTTGCAGGAGTTGTTGCTGCAGAGGGCGGCCGTAGCGTTGTGCATCATGGGTACTTTCAGGAGGGGAACCATGGAAGCAATGAACAGGAGGGTGCAGCATTATGGTAAGAGAAGTGGTATTTTTGGCATGGTGAATATCAAGAGCGGCAAGCCATCATCATGGGTTAAACCGGCAGATGGCATGCAATCACAGTGCAAAGCGAGAAAGCGTGGCGGAGAAATAAAAAAAAGGGAAAATAGCTTATTACAAGTACAATTAAAGGAAGGTTGTCAACACAATCGGCGATTCCCAGAAAAAAGAGCAAGGACCATTGAAAACGTGGGCGTTATCTCTAAGAACAGGATTACTTGTGCAAACGAGCTCTCTACCAAAATAGCCCGTTACCTGAGAATTGTTACATGAGCAATTTGTTTTCCCCCAGTATCAATACGAAGCACTCCAAAATAAAATTCTACTAAAAAAAAAATACAGTGGTTTGTACTGGGAAGGAAACTGGTAAATATTTATCTTAGTTTTTAAACACAATAAAAAAATTAATTATTTTCATGTATCTTCATTTTGAAGTAAGCCAGATACTTGCTGTCTTCCGTTGTAATCCAATTGATGCATTTTTTTTCGACTAGCACTGCATAACTGTTAGACTTTATCAGAGTTAAATTACCATCTGCTTTGAGGCAAAAATCAGGAGAAGGATGATAGTAATTTTCCTGATTTAAATACTACTTTGTTTGATCTAAATAAGCAAGGTCGATTTTGTGAAAGTTGCTGCTTTTGCTCATTTTAAGAATGAATTTTAATCAGCATCTTCATGGGAGAATTATTAACTTGATGTTTTAAAGGCTTGATATTTTAACTGCTTATCTGAGTAGTCCCCCCCCAGAAAAAACCCACTGGGATAGGGCTATAGAATAGAAGAAAGATTACTTTTCAGTCTTATAGGCTGTTGCACTGGACTCCTATTTTTGCATGCCCAAAATGTTAACTCCAAGCCGCAGATATATTTAAAGGAGGAGCGAGATTCAGATCACGGGTTTCAACAGAACCTCTGTGGATCAAAGTAGCCATTTCTGGGAAACGCTGATAAAACTTTCTAACACACAGCAAAAAGGAGAAATAGGCACACCACTATGAAACTTTAAAACACTGATGAAATATGCTGGCTTTTTCCAGTATTTTATGATTTTATAGTACTAGACAATATAAAATACAAAGAGAAATAAAACTTTGAAAACTGAAAAGCAGACCGGAATTCATGGTATTATGCTTTTGCAGTGTAGTTGTTATAGCAGGTGATATCACATCTAAACTGCAGCTTTCATCTACAAATCTAAACACTACAAAGTCAACCAGAAGGACAAGCGAGCCTTTAATTCTAGTCATTGTCTAAATCTTGCCTAGGATTTTTGAAACAAGTGAATACACATCATATACAGTATAAAAAGAGATCAATAAAGAAATTTGGAACCTACCAATACTGGTAGCGGGTGTCATGCACAAAACTGACCCTGCGTGTCATGCAATGATAGGTGAAAAAAGTGGATAAAGGGAAGAAACAGGTTAGCCATTTAGAGTTAACATTCAAAGTGAGATTCAAGCATAACCACAGAGAAGTAAGTTAGTTAAATGAAACTGTAAGGTCATTCATAGTTGTGCTTTAACACAAAAAAGGTGATTATGTTCTTACTAAACTCCTACCGGAGTATACTGTGTAACTTTTGGCATGTTTCTGTGTATATACAAGATACTTCATAAACGTTTTTATTTAGTGCTTTTATCTTTTCACTTAGTACTTTTGCAGCAACAGGTTTTTGTTGATAGAAACATCTTTGGTTAAATTTCACACATCTTTGGGAATTTTAGAACTCGTTGCATAATTCAGACAGCTCAATGTTGCACAGATCAACTTTCACCAACTTTTTGATGTGCAGCAGAGAAAGACGTTAAAATGGAATTAGCTGATATTGTTCTGCGGAGGCTTTGCCAAATTTAATGTACTTGTTCTTAACACAACACCTGAGGTGGAGAGGTGCTTCTGACCAAAGAAAACGCTACTGTGGCAATTCCCCAAGCTAAACACCTCAAAGTGTGTAATGTTCCAGCAAAAGGCTCCCAGCGCACCTCAAAGATGCTCTGGAAGGACTGCTCACCTGCTGCGCAGTTTACGTTTGGTGCCTAGTCCACCTTTAACCTTTCTGGGAAGACCAAATGAAAAAAAAAAAGAACAGCCTATTTTCAGTACAGTGCATATAGCAAGCTGGTGAAGGTGAGCAGGTTAAGGAGACTAGTCCCAGGTCCATGCGTATTTGATACAAAGTCAAATATGCTTCCTGTATTCCTGCTTAATTACTACAGCAGCCCCTTATCGGACCATTGCAGTAGCAGTGTAACTATGAATGACCTTACCCAAGAACAGTCCCCGGAGAATACACACAGTTCCTCCTCTAGAGGCTATAGAAACACTAACAAACAGCAATGGGAAGAGAGAAAAGATCTGTTGTTTTTAAGATCATTCACCAAACGATAAGGAGAAGGTGACAAAGCAATCAAACTGATGTAAAACAAACAAAGTGCAGAACTTTGGAGGTAAGCCATGCTAAGTCAAGCCCCACACTTTTTATTAGGGGAGCAAGTGGTTAAGAAAGCAGAGAAGTTATATAAAACAATTAAGTTTTATATATATTCCAGCAGCAAAACTTGTCTTAAAATTTAACTTCACACGCACACACACACACAAGGAACACATTTGAAAATTATAGCAGTTCAGAAAATATCACATAATCATTTAAAATCCAACAGATAACGTCATGCATTGCTCCTTAGACCTGGGTGGCATGACAGTCCTTACACCCACCAAGTCCAGCCTTCCCAGGAAACATGGGAATATCAGACCCAGCATCTTTAACGAAAATCTCATGACACCCGCTCATATAGAGGGGGTTCTCCTTTCCTAACCTCCTCCCATACCCCACTCCTCTCTCTAACATCCTTTCTAGGTGCTGACGGTGTGCACAAAGAGCAGGCTCAGCACCGTGAGAAAGGTTTTGCACTCTGGGCCTGGGCTCCATCTGCTATGTCATCCCTCTGGTTCTTCTTTTTTCATGCACTTGTTTTGGGGCTTGCCAACAACCTGGCCCTTAAGGTTTGGTTCCAAGATCCACCCTTCCTACCGTCAGAAATTTGTAAGATGAAACTATAATTACAACCATTAGTTGGAAAGAGGGATGGACAATAAAATGCACACAGAATGAGCTACTTAAGGAATCACGAGCACTCCAAAAGTCTGGAAAATATCCAAATGCTATTTCACTGAAAAAGGTTTAAACTACTGTGTTTTCCGTAGTTAATTTAAATCCTTGGCACTTGCAAATAATAGCGATAGGCCCTGAAAGGGAGTGCTTAAGAGAAGGAATAATGCGTATCATACTGCAAATTCTCAGTGTTACAATGTAAAATAAATTTGTGGATATTTCATACGTTTGTAAGCACAGGGCAATCTTCCATTCACGTCCAAATAGGCAGTCTCACAATTTATTTATTTTTTTCAAACACTCCCATAAATGTCAGTATGTTTTCTGCCACAGATATTCTGGTGCACCAATGTGCTAAAAATACGGCATGCTATAACTTACTATTATAAATACAGGGGCAGGCTCCAAGGTTGTTACTCAGGCCTTATAGCAAAATTCCATAAAGTCAAAGCCATCTGTGTTTGTTTTTATCTTTAAAAACATATGGGAATGCTGATAGATCGGGAAATCATCGTGTGTTGCGTTTCATTCCTTGTTTAACCGACATTATTTCTATAAACTAAAATAACATTGCTGAAATGTCAAGCGCATTTGCAAACACATAGTTTTAAACGATTCTGGAAGTTCACACTCGGTAACATTCCGATACTAAAATATGTAATTTGTTAATTACAAATGAAATCACAGAATTCATTAGGCAGGATATCTACCTTTGGGAAGTTTGGAGTGGGGGTGACTGACATAATTTAGAGGGTTATGTTGTTATTGTTTTCACACGAGTACCTAGCCCGATCTTTCTTGCGCAGTGTTAAAGAGAAGCCCTGCCACCAGCCACGGTGCAGTTCAAGCCACCTCTGAATGCTTTGATTTTTAGAGAGTTCCGAGCACTGAAACGCACATTACGTTCACTCGTTTTCAGATCACCCCTGTGAAGAATTATAACCAGAGCTATTAGCCGCAAATGCTAGGAAAAGTTCTGGTGGCGTTCCAAAATGAGAACCACGAAAACTCATCTGATGCCTCAAAGCCCTTTAAGTGCAGCTGCGGGGAGCGACGTGTTTTGCCAGTGCTTCCATGCAGGTATCGACTGGAAGGTTATGGCTGGTGCTCCCCTTCTCGCTCTGCTCGTGCGTGGCTGGGGTAATCCCCACGGCTGCAAAACAGCACCCGAGGGAGCAGGAGGATGCGCCTCGGCCACGGCACACTTCCCGTGGCATCTCTGAAGCACCATGCTTTTCCCAGCATTTTTGTTAGTGGAACTTTGCCCTCTTGTCTCCTAGGAGAGCGCTGGCAGATAAAAGTCAAAATACAGCCAATTTAAGGTAGGAAAAAGGGGGCAAACTCTGGACGATGGTGAACGAGGCTATGAATGTGAAAAGCAGCCTAACAGCATGTTGAAATTTCTGCTCCGATTCTCGTACTTTGCAGGAGGAATTAAAATAACGTGTAAATATCTGTGCAGGCTTCACCCCAAGTAGGGCAGGGAGCATAATACAACCTTCTGTTAACCTTCTGCCTGACTCGGAGGCTACCTAAGGAACACAAAACTGGTTCAATGTGGGTACGACATACCTGTTGGGATAAACGCTGCATGTTGCTGCAACTGAGCATTGGCAAGAGCCTGTTGATAGTGCAAGACACTGGGATTGAAAACGGCACTGGCACCATTGCTTTTTTCAAGTGCTTGTCTCTTTGGTAAAGGGTGAAGAACACCAGGAGGAAAGGCCTGTAAATAAGAAAGTTAGTTAAAATGGCGTCATTTTTAAGACATTGTCTGTAACATATACATAAATACAAAAACTTATTATTTTTTAAAGCGGCTAAAGATGCCTCGCCATGCATATTAACTCAAAGCACAGCAATGTAAAATGAGTGAAATTTTGTTATTGATAGCAAAAGCGTGGTACTATTAACCTAAAACTGTAGCGGCACAACTACTGAAAAGAAAGGCCTTTAAAGCAACGAAAATGGCATTGCCTTTAAATAGGTTTTCAAATATTACAGGGAGAAAAAACCACTTGTGTTTCATTGCCAAGTATTTTCTTTTTTTTAATTTAAATATCGTTTCCTATTATTATACAGATTAATGGATTACGTTAAGCGTTTTCAATTACAGAAGCAGTTTTATCTCAATTCGACTTTTCATGAGAGGATATTTAAAAAAATGAAACCATGTTAGGAACCAAACTAAATCGTCTGCGTTCATTACGTATGAGAATGAGATGGATAAATAGAGTTTCCGGTAAATTAACGAGTATGTGAAATCATTTCCGGTTGATGTTCAAAAGTAAAGCGATACAAATTTCATTAGTTGCTTCTCTGGAGGAAAAAAAAAAAAAAAAAAAAAAAAAAGCGCTACATGCAAAGCAAAAGGTGAAAGGTCAAAGTACCAGGTCTACAGTTGCTTCGAGAGGTCGCTTCATTGCTTTGGCAGTCGACTGAGTCTTTTAATAACAGGCAGCGAGCACATGATGGCAGTGGGCCAATGGGATTCAAGCGAATTAACATACAGGTAAACAGCAAGCAGAGGTGCATCATGGGAACGGCATTGCATTTGTGGATAGGTGAGAAGGAAAAAAATATTCTGAATGCAATATACAACATACAAAACACTAGGCATGCACAACAACAAAAATGTCTTCTAAAGAAATGAATATTACATTTTGAATTAGTACCGAAGCAAAAATGCATCTACTATACCTTAGTTAAAAGCATATAAGAGAGTAAAATATAGATGTTTGAAATTCAGGAAAGTTGAGTAAAACAGCAGCTTGCAGACACTATTAAGCATCGTATAAACACTTCACAGAGATGCAGAAAGTTGTAAGGATACGCCTATAAGAATTCCTGATAAGTTAGTTAAGTCACATTTTAAAGCGGAAAAATCAATTTGGAAGGCTACATTTTCAAATACAAAGCACTAGTGAAAGTTGTAATGCATTACAAATGCTATTAATATCAGTGCTTGCAAGGGGAGGGTCCTTTAATTAAGGGAAGTGCGTCATTCGAGAGATTTGGGGTTCAAAATGAGAGAGGTTCTCCTTTTCCAATACAAAGCAGAACAAGTAATATGTCTAGTTACACTAACTTATCATTAATTCCTTTTTTTTCCCCTACAGCTGGGACATTTTTGTAGATTTTTTTTTCTCCTTGTAACTTACCACATTACATTGAGAGGAAAAAAAGTCTTTCAGAATTTAAAACATATTTTCTAAATTTTGCTACAACCTTCAGTACTAGCTTCAGGAGCAGGGAGTAAAAATACTGCTCTCAGTTCATAAGCTAACATTAACGTGTGAGTTATGATACTAGTCCAGCATTATTAATTTTTTTAAAAGAAAGTATTTCGGCATAGTACACAGGCATATACATTTATGTATACTTCCACAGTAAGATCAAACTTATGGCTGATATGGTGGCATTCTGTAAAAAATCTTCTCATATAAAATATTTCTTTCAAGTTTTATAGTGTAGATAATTCTTACAAACCTTTAGAAAGGAAAGGAAGATTTACCTAGAAATCAGAATTTTTACTTTCGTTTTTTAAACACGGGCTGATATTTAGCTCTTTTTAGGATATGCAGATTATGCCTATCTTGACATCAGCATGTGGAAATAGGGAACAAAAGTGAAAAAAAAAGGACAAGGCACAAAATACCTACAAACAGCTTATGGTCACAAGATTAGCTAGTGCCAACAGGGTATTTTGCAGGATAGCCCTCGCTCTGCCTATTCCTTGTTCCCGGCTTTGTTGCACCTACGTTGCATGAGGCTTCCCAACGCTCTCCCCATCTCTCCTTCAGCACATTTCTGGATTACACACCCTGATCTACAGGATCTGCTCATCTGTCTGGGTCCAAGAGTCAGACATAACAAGAAACACCTGGTGCAAAGTGAGGATCTGGAGAGCCCTCTTGCATCTAAGCAGGGTGCTGTGCAGCCGACGTGTGGTACCCCCCCTGGGCACCCCCGCGGGGGACATCACTCCATCTGCATGGGGCACAGCCTTCAGATCCACTCTGCATCCACCATGGATGGAAGTCTACATGGAGGTGAAGCATTATGACTGAATTCAGCATTATGTGATGATGAAGTCCACAAATTCAAATCAACACCATTAAGAGCAAAGCGTTTCAGTTAATTACCTTTATTATCCAACTGCAGATCTTATCTGATCTCACTCATTAACTTATTATCCCTGTGTTTACGATTGCCTTTCTCCACTTCTTCTCCACGCTCCTCTTAACCTCACCTCCCTATTTTGAAGCTTTTTGCCGGCCTTCCCCTCATCTTCCACAGCAAGTTCAGTCTCACAGTTTTCCCAATCTGAAGACTTTAACTTGCTCTGTTTCTAGACCTACTCATCAACATTGTTTCCACGTAGTCTACCCCTCTTTTCAGGCTTTCAGACTGACTGTCCATTTTTCCCTCCCACCTTCATCTTTTCTTTCATTTTGTCCTGATAGTAAAACGTCCTTTACCTCTTTCTGTTCCATCAGGTAATCTCCTGCTCAACATTTGATCTCCTACATAACTAACAACCAAAAAAATCAATAGCTACAAACTGGAGAGGAAAAGGCTATGGAAAGGAGATAAAGATAATAATAAAAATGATCAAACATATTGAGGCATAGTACTTGGCTGCCATATATCACATTGGTACGCTATAATACCTCCTGGAATATGAGCAAGATCCACACAGCGGAGGCCTGCACGGATGTGCAAGGAGCTCCTGACTAAACTCAAATGCAAGAAGGGAAGCACACAAGAGGTGGAAGCAGGAACAGATGCCCCAGGAGGAATAGGGACATAGACTGAGCATGCAGGGATGGGTTAGGAGAGCCAAAGACCACCTGGAGTTGAATCTGGCAAGGGATGTGAAGGACAAGAAGAAGGGCTTCTCCAAGTATATCAGCAACAAAAGGAAGACTAGGGAAAATGTGGGCCTGCTGCTGAATGGGGCAGGCGATCTGGTGACGCAGGACCTGCAAAAGGCTGAGGTACTGAACGTCTTCTCCACCTCAGTCTTTACTGGTAAGACTGGCCTTCAGGCCATTGGGAGACCAGTGGGAAAGTCTGAAGCGAGGAAGATTTACCCTCGGAGGAGGAGGATCAGGCTAGGGAACATTTAAACAAACTGGATGTACACAAACCCATAGGAGCTGACAGGAGGCACCGATGGGTGCTGAGGGAGCTGGCCAATGTCACTACAAGGCCACTCTTTATTATCTCTGAAAGGTCACTGCAATTGGGGGAAGTTCCCAAAGACTGTAAGAAAGTAAATGACACTCCTATCTTCAAAAAGGGCAGGAAGGTCAGTCTGAGGAATGACAGGTTGGTCAACCTCACCTCAGTTCCTGGGAAAGCAATCGAGCAAATCCTCCTGAAAACCATCTCCAAACACATGAAAGCCAAGAAGATGATGGGGACTTGTCAGCATAGACTTAGGAAGGGGAAATTCTGGTTAACCAACCTGACAGCCTTCTACAATGAGACTGGCTTGGTGGGTGAGGGGAGAGCAATAGGTGCTCTTTCTCTTGACTTCAGAAAGGTTTTCAACACTGTCTCCCATTTCATCCTCATAGACAAACTTATTTAGTATGGGCTAAATGGGAAACAGTGAGGTGGACTGAAAATTGGCTCAACTGCCAGGCTCAAAGGGTTGTGATCAGCAACACAAAGTCCAGCTGGAGGCCAGTTACTGATGGTGTAAAACTCGGAGAAGTGGTTGATACACAAGATAGATGTGCTGGACTCAGAGGGACCTGGAAAGGCTGGAGAAATGGGCACAGAGGAACATCACCAAGTTCAACAAAGGGAAATACCAAGCCCTGCACCTGGGGAGGAACAACCCCAGGCACAAGTACATGCTGGAGGCCACCCAGCTGGAAAGCAGCTTGGCAGAAAAGGACCTCAAGGTCCTGGTGGACACCAAGCTGAACATGAGCCAGCAATGCGCCCTCACAGCAAAGGCAGCTGATAGCGTCCTGGGCTGCATTAGGAAGAGCATCACCAGCAGGTCAAGGGAGGTGATTTTTCCCCTCTACTCAGCACTGGTGAGGCCACATATGGAGCACTATGTCCAGGTCTGGGCGCCCCAGTACAAGAAAGACATGGACATACTAGAAAACAGTCCCATAAATGGCCCCAAAGATGATTAAGGGACTGGAGCACCTCTCATACGAGAAAAGACTGAGAGAGCTTGGACTGTTCAGCCTAGACAAAAGAAGATGCAGGAGGATCTCATCAGGGTATATAAATAACTGATGGGGGAGTAAAGATGGAACCAGACTCTTCTCAGCGGTGCCCTGTGACAGGACAAGATGCAATGGGAAAAAATTTAAATACAAGACATTTCATTTAAATGTAAGTTTTTAGTTTTGTTTTGTTTTTACTGTAAGCATTATTCAACCATGGAGCAGGTTGTCAAGAAAAGTTGTGGAGTCTCCATCCTTGGAAAATTTCAAAAGCCAACTAGGCATGTCCTGGGCAATCTGCTCTAGCTCACCCTGCTTGAGCAGGGGGGTTGGACTAGATGTTCTCCAGAGGCCCTTTCCAACACCAACTATGAATTCACATTTTAATTTAGGCTGTACATTCTTCAGTGACTTTTTATACTCTCTGATGCACCACATGAATATTTGGAGCTCCCCAAGTACAATGATAGATGGCACTGCCTTCTAATGCACTTCACATTTAAGCTGTACACAGTCTACAGCCTCTTTCACAAATGATGGAGTCAACTAAGATACATGAGTAAAAATTCCTAAACTTCAATGTACAGAAATAGAGACAGGGCATTTTCTGCAAGTTCCCAGGCTGCAGAATTCATTGACCTTCAATGGTCTTGTGCTTTGCCTACAGTGCTCTAACCCTATCCACAACGCTCACCTATATGAGCACCCTCTGGAGCAGACCAATGCAGACAGCTCCCCAGCCAGGGAGGAAAACCTCTTGGACACAATTGCAACCTGGAAGCAACCTGCAAGTGAACCCTACAGGTAAGCATTTGTATTTCTGCCTTACTTTTGCTCTCTAGATCCAACTGAGTATTCTTGGTCATTCTTGGGTGGCCTTGCAGGCATGTGTCTTTTCTACCATTTTTTTGTTGTTATTGCCATTCTGGTGATTTTTCATTCACTCTGAGTGAATAATCTATATTACACAAAAAATAGTTGGATTGTAAAGATTCTTTTCTGTTTGGTAGTCTAAATACGCCATTAAAATATTCTGTACATATTTTCCTGCAAAAAGTTACCCTGAATTACAGGTCCCAGCCGCCTTCTCCCGTGACATTAGAATGCTAACAGTTCAATTCTGTGTTTCCAAAGATGCTTCATCTTGCTTTGAGGCTAATGCAATTCCAATTACAGCTTATTTAAAAATCACAGGGTATATATAATCACAGGTCTTCACCAGCAAGTGCTCGAGCCTCACCGCCCAAGCCGCAGAAGGCAAACGCGGGGACTGGGAGAATGAAGAGCCGCCCACTGTGGGAGAACATCAGGTTCAAGACCATCTAA